AAAGTTAAAGTTAAGACACGGTTTATTAAATTTAAACAGGGGAAGAGGGCACAGATCCCTGTGTCAAGTTGGTCTGTGTGAAACAAACAAGCTTGCTTTAGAAAAGAAGATTTAGAAAAATGTATTAGGGCGGTGGTGGTGCACACCTTTAATCCCAGTACTCGGGAGGCAGAGACAGGCAGATCTATGTGAGTTTGAGGCCAGCCTGGGCTACAAAGTGAGTTCCAGGGGAAAAAAAAAAAAAGGCGTAAAGCTATACAGAGAAACCCTGTCTTGGAAAAAAAGAAAGAAAGAAAGAATACAAAACAAAACAAAACAAAAAAAGTTCTCAAAATTTAGGGGCCTGGAGAGATGGCTCAGTGGTTAAGGGCACTAGCTGCTCTTCCAGGGGTCCTGAGTTCAATTCCCAGCACCCACATGGTGGCTCACAACCATCTGTAAAGAGATCTGGTGCCCTCTTCTGGCCTGCAGGCATACATGCAGTCAGAACACTATACATAATAAATAAATAAATCTTTATAAAAAGAAAAAAGAGAACAATTTATTAAAGCCAAGTTTAGTGTTTCACACCGGTGACCCCAGTATTCAGGGAACTGTGTCAGGATGCTTGCCATGACTTTGGGGTGCACAGTGAAAAGTCAAATCAAGAAAGATGGGTTTTCAGAATTCCATTATGGTGTATTGTGTTGTGATTTTTACTCTGGGAAAGAAAAGCATTTAGAGATACTATTATAAACTAAGATAATGGCTTTTCCTTATTCTACAGCTGGCCTTATAGTAAAGTACAGTGAACGAAGCCATATGATAATGAACAAAGTGTGACAGAAAAAGATATTTTGTTCGCTATTTTTAATTAAGCAATCTGTGCAAACAGTATTTTTTTTTTTCTTTCTTCAAGGTTAGGAGGAGAGAACATGACCACACTTGGGGGCCGGGGGGAAAACCAGAAAACGCCTTCTCTTTTCAACCAAATTTCAGAGCACTGGTGTTTATAGAGGCAATGCCCAGCCCTCAGTATTCCTCAGGATTGCTTGATTGCAAGTCTCGCAAATATGAGTCGATTATGTTTGGAGGTACGCCCTGCAGGAGGAGCCTGCAGAAAGACAGCCCACCTAGAGAAGACAAAATGGAGAAAGCGGAAGTTAAAAACATCCACGGAAAGATCACCCAGAGGACACTCCTGGACTAGCTGCCTGCAAATGGGGTCACTTTTGTTCTTAGGAGCTACCAAGACTCACTCAGGCCCTACTTGAAATCTTCTCCTGGTTCTCGTGCATTTAGAATTTAACGTGCTTGGCATCAAGTTCCTGGCAGACCCGTAGTAATTTATCCCCTACTGTTGTTCCATCTTGGTTTAAATTCTCAGTGCCTTGAGAGTGCATTGCTCTTAGAGAGGTTTTGAGAGTTCTCCTCAAATGATATAACGCTTCTGACTGAATGGCTGTAGGTCACCAGGGGAGCCACTTCCCAACTCCTTAATGCTCTTTTGAATTAAGCACGGAATATTCTGATTCAAGCCCAGTGGAGAAGAAAAATATTTGCTTTAGCTTTGGCCATTTATAAACTGCAGAAACTAGAGCTAATGCCTTCTGAAAGTGAGAGAAATGCCAACTAGTATTTCATACCTACCTTATGAATTTCTGTTATATTGCTTTAAAAATCAAAGTATCATTCAAGAGAAAACCCACGAAACCAGAAAGCCTGCACTACCCTTTATAACAAATGCTTCACTTCCTGATAAAAGATTTATGACCAAACAAAAGCAGCATGCTGTTGGAACAATCTTAAAACTTCTTTAATGCAAATTTGAGAAACTCATTCTCCTTAATAAAAAAGAAAACAACCAACCATGTCACATATCTGTAGAAACGATGCCACTTATATACATGTCCATTCCTTGATGCAAAGAATTCAGATGCATGGGTCTCACTCATTTCATCTACATCAAATCCTTTGATTCATGCTCTACCTCATTCAACAACTTGCTGCATGTCCAGAAGAAATGGTTGTGAAGGCTCAGTATTAGATGTTAATGTCAAGATCCAGAAATACCAATTAAAACTACGAAGTTAGCAGGCTCTAGTTTCATTGGATTACGTAGTGGAAATCATGCCATACTCCACAGGCCTGGTATGGCTTATGACATTCATAAGCTTCATATGCTAAAGCCATATGAAAGCTTACCTTAGGGCAATATACATTCAGAAATCCTTACTGTGCTACAACTAAGGAAGAGAGAGAGAGAGAAGAGAGAAGTTGTAAGAATTAATAAAGTGCTAACATCAAAGTTGAGTGTATGTTGGAGGTGAAATTATGGTCACGATTATGATCAGGTGATTTCATTAATCCTTAGTCGGGTGAATGACAAAGGAAAAATAGAGTGAAGGGTGTCACTTCAAGAGGATCATTAATACATAAAAAATTAATAATAGGCATAACCACTTTGCTAGAATAGGTGGCAAAGCTAATCTGACTAGTGAATGTTTATGGTAAGAGCTTCCAAACTGTTAGCTTAAAAAAATACCCTACAACATATATATATCGTGTTTTTCAACAAAAGAAAAACATAGACAATATTTTAAAATGTTAGTGTTCATATATATATGTTGAAATTCCAAAAGGCAAAATTATCAAGTATAACTATTGAGCTAGTGTATTTTGTAATATTCTGTTGGGACGGATTATATGTAACTGGTCTAAGTCTTAAACTCAAGCTACAGTGATTGTCTATAGCCTACAGTACTTCAAAGGAAGAACTCTGATATTTTATTTTGTCTTTAGTGCTGACATTACCTCTACATTCAGAAAGCAGATACTGTAAATTCAGATTAGATCGATATCGGAGTTTAATTCAGGTTGTTTACCTAGTTCCAAAGAACTCTTTAATTAGCTCTTCCAAGTGAGAGTGGGTCATACACATACAATAGGACCTTTTATATGTAATACATTTATCATAAGCCCTAGACTTTTCCTTCCTTTTAAGTTCATAAGCATATGAGATAATTGGGATACCACAAAGATTTCCAAACTGTCCAATACACGAATAGGTTAGGTATCCCACCAGTGAGTTGGCAATGGGAAAATCTTACATGAGAGAGTCTCCAAATGTCACACCTGTCTTTGCTTCTTCCTTCAAAAATGCACAGAGCATGCTCTCTTTACAACTTAGCAGGTGAGAGGTGCTCAGTTTCTGAATTCCATCATGAATAGGAACTCCCTATGCTGGAAATGATCTTCAAGGACCAACCTATCTTTGTACACTTGAAAAATAAAGACATTAAGTAAATGTCCTTGTTTCTAAATGGTTTTTTGATAGTCATATATAAAATGAAGGTTTCCTCAAATGCCACTTTCTGACTTTGTTAATGGGGACAGCTGGTCTGATATTCAGTCTTCTGAGAAAAGGTATTGGTTCTGCATTAATTAATATCCTTGGATAATTTGCCTTCCTCGTTCATGGCATAAACGTTGTATGCCATGAGCTGCTAAGAATCACAATTAAAAGCAAACAAGAAACTCAAGCTTTACATGCAAAGTGCGTTTTCATGTAAGAGGAATGGAACGGAAAAATCGAAATATCCAGTGGGATGTGAACTTTTTGAACCTGTTGCTGCCCCTCCATGGAGACTGGCTGTCCGGGGGTATCTACTCCTTGATAGATCACTGCAGAATTAGAATGTTTGTACCATATTTATTTATTCTCAGTTGACATTCTTACCTTTTAATACATAGCTTAATTCATTTAGGTAACCCCTTATCAGATAACAATCCGATGATAAACAGTCTCAGTCTTGTTTTTAGAACCAAAAGCTTTTTATCAAGAAAGAAATCACAGTTGATACCTTATCATGATACCTTACTTACATTTTCCTCAACATTAAATTCAGTCTTTACTCAATTTATTATAACATTTCTAAAAACTGTAACATTTACATGCATAATCTCACTTATTTGTGTGGAAAGCTCCAGATATTGAACCACTTATGAAATTATCATTTTATGCCCTTAACATTTTGTTATTTTCAAGGCATGACTATAGGATAATTTCTTATTTTGCTTTTTGGATGATGTTAGAAATTTATAATAATACCTTGAAACAATAAAGCTAGAAGTTTAGAAACCAGATGAGTTATGTGTGGCCTAAATCATCATGTCAAGCTAAGTGTAGTGGTTAAATTTGTAAGGGCTTCCTCAATAGCAAGCTGTGGAATTTTTTATTACTATCATAGGCCTTATGCTTATGACATAGAAACATTTCTCCTATCACTCAATCCTGAATTACCGTATACCTGAGGACAAAAATCATAAGAGAAAGAAAAGTATTAAGAGCATGTTATTGCTCAAGAAGGTTCTTATACTCTATGCTAAACTTAGGAGGAAAAGGTTCTTTTAAAAACATCTTAGACATTTATTATGACTATAAAAAGCATATTTACAAAGCCAACTTTTTTTTTTTTTTTTTTTTTTTTTTTTTTTTTTTTTTTTTTTTTTACTTTTAGGGTCAAATTGTTTCATCATAGACAGACAGGGAAAATAAAATACTTTGGTTATCAGAGGAGAGAAATGAAATACCGAGTGAAAACACATTAGAGTCCTATTGTCTGGTATTTCACGGTGTCCCAAAGCAGGTTTTGGTTGTTAAGAAAAACTTAAGAATAAACTCTTGTCAATTAGTAAGAAATGCCATTAAGATGACTATGCTAAGATCCTTATGTGTTTTTCTTGGTTTACATTAGTTGTGACGTTTCTTAAATGGAATATAAGCCTATAAAGAAAAATCCCTTAGTAATGTTACATTACAGGTATGCTGTATCCTACACACATGTCAAACCCTGAAGTGTCAACACTGTATATGTTTGCGTATGTGTATATGTATGTATATATACATATATATATATATATATATGTATTCATATGTACGAAGTCTCACAGCTTACTAAAAACAGTATGGTTTGCTTAACTGCGATTTCAGTAGACAAGCTCTTACACCGGCCTCCATTTACAGATGGAGTATGTCACCAAAGCAACACCGTTTTTCACTTCATTCATTCTCACCGTGCTACCCACCTACATTTCACTGAAATTAATCTTCCTTTAATTAACGTGAATTTTAAAATAATACTAAAACAAGTTAACCCAGATAGTCAAGAATCTTAACAAACAGCATAAACGCCCAAGTAGAAGTATCCCTTCCCCATCAATTCTCGCCACAGCATCCTGCCAAGTAGTCTTGATTTTGCACTGAGAGTTTCCTTCCGCCACATCCTTTCACTTAAGCCTACAGCTGAGATCTTAGGTGACATACCTTTCACCTCCAGTTTGCATTCGATCTCCACTGTCCCCAGGTCGTTGACCGCTTTGCAGCAGTAAGTGCCTCCATCATAGGGACTAGGCTTGCGGATCTCCAGGGTGCAGACTCCTTGGTTGCTGAACATCCTGTATCTTGGGTCATCCACAATAGCCACTTTGTTTTTCATCCAGGTGATTTTGGGCTGAAGTCCAGATTGAAGAAACTCAAGTCAAAGCCTGTTTGTAGGTAGCGTGTTAAGAGCCCCTCTGACCCAGGGTTTGTATGTAGCATGTTAAGAGCCCCTCTGACCCAGGGTTTGTATGTAGCATGTTAAGAGCCCCTCTGACCCGGGGTTTGTATGTAGCATGTTAAGAGCCCCTCTGACCCAGTGACAGGATTTTAAAGAATGGATTAGGAAGAAAGGGCATCTAAGATGTAGACAACAACTTGGGTCCTGTTTGTCTCAAATTCTATTCCATTGGAAGGAAAGCGAAGGGGTTAGCTCTAAAGAAGAAAGCTGGAGTTTGTTGTGCAGACAGCTTGAGAGCAATCTTCCCAGAAGGATTAAGTTGCATTCCAAATTAATCTACTTGGGCACAAAATGTTCAGTCAGAAGATAAATGAATTCTAAGCCTCTGATGTCCTGCATGTGTGCTTGTGGATGTGCTAGTTTGATTGTGAAAATCATTGCACAGCGCACATCAAATCATGTTGTGTGCCTTGACTATACACGTTCTTCGACAATTATTTCTAGATTAAGAAAAATTGACCTACAGGGTTGTGATAGGAATTCGTAACAGAGTGTATGTATATACTGGGTATTTTCAGAGAATTCCCAAACAGTGCCATGATCATCTGATTGTCTCCTCTTTCCCCAAAGAGTCTCTAATTCTGTATAGCTTACATATGCTCTCGGGGCACATCACCTCCCCTCTGACATCGTATTTATTGTCTAGTGGTAGGAGACCCGCTCCAGCTGGGTAATACAAGCTCAGCAAAGCTCTAGTCACCCAGAAGGTGCTCGTGTGCTCCTTGACCCCTGATCTACATTTGCAGTCACTGACCTCCCCTGCTTTCCTCCCTTCTCCTTCCCTCTGTAAACATACTCAGCCTTGACCTGCTCTCTCCCACTCTGCCTTTATTACTGTGTCTCCCTCAGATCCCAGTCAGAGCCTTTGCTGTCTTTTATGCAGCCCTCTCCCATCCTCCACCTTTCAAATGAGACCATCCCGAGGCTCACATCCGGGTCCTTGGCTTTTTACTGCCTTCCTTTCTCAATGCCGTATATTCCTTGGCAGAGCTTGAGCTCTAAGGGGCGGTGTGGAGCACCTCCGTGCTGAGACTCCCCAGCTGAGAGCAGCAGCCTGAGCCTGCCTTCTAAACTCGGGGTTAACATTTCTGCTCCCAGGTGGAGGTCCCCACATCACATTTGCTTACACATGAATTCAGCACCTTCCCCCACGCTCCTCCTGGCTTTTCCCTTTGCCTTACCCCATTCTACCCAGACACAGGCCACTGTTACTGAGTTCCATTCTGTCAGAGTTTTCAAAATTTGAGCATACTTTCCCTTGGTGCCACCCAGAGATAGAGACCACTATGGACAACATTTGTTAATTCTTGCTTTTAAACACCAACAACGCCGGGGCGGTGGTGGTGCATGCCTTTAATCCCAGTACTCGGGAGGCAGAGGCAGGCAGATTTCTGTGAGTTCGAGACCAGCCTGGTCTCCAAAGCAAGTTCCAGGAAAGGCACAAAGCTACACAGAGAAACCCTGTCTCAAAAAACCAAAACAATAAATAAATAAACACCAACAACAAGAGACTTGAGAACCTTTCTAAGTGTCCTCTATTGAATGTGATCACCCAGTTTTAGCGCTCTGCACCCTTAGCAGAGCATGTTTTATATTCTGCCCTGAGTGTTGCAGGACATTTGATCACATTGTGAACCCAGAGACTGTGTTACTTACTGGAAAAAAAAAACGTGTTTCTAGTTGTGGTTTGGCTCAGCCTTAGCACACTCCTTTCCATTTGAATGTTGGAAACAGGATTAAATAAAGTCAACCATAGGTCAAGAGGCGGAGCAAGCACTCAGTTGACAGGAAGTGAACATAGGATTATTAAGAAAAAACATAGAGAGTAGGAGGGAGCCAGGAGGACAGAGAGAGACGCAGAGGAAGTGGAGGGGAGGGACATGGAGTTTGAAGGGAAGGTTGTTTGAGGCAGCTGATAGAAGGATCTTTCTGGGATGGAGGAAGGGCAGCTGGGTGCTTTCTCAGCCTCTCTGAGCGAGCAGGCTTTCTCCCCAACATCTGGCTCCGAGTCTTTATTGATAAAATTGAACATTGGAGATTTTGTTAAAAACAACACCTGAATTATCATGTGAGAGACCTCTTGATGAGTCAACATGACCACCGAAGTTTTCCAGGTAGAACAATATCCCCTCTGCTTACCTCTTGCTTCTTTCCTGTAGTTTTATTTCTTTAGTGGCTGTCTATTAGTTAATAAAGACGTATACCCCGTTTGTTCCTACTAATTTAAATACTGTAATTATTTATCCACAAACCCCACCTTCCTTCACTCTCCCCATTCTAGAAAGACACAGAAGTTGGAAGTCCCGTTTATCGCTTTGCTTGCCATTATAACAAGGCAAATATAAAAAGTTTTGGAATCAGTTCTTAAATTTCAGTGATTTGACAGTACAACACAGTACCTTAGGATTTCCTCGGACGCTGCAGTTCAGGGTGGCATTATAACCAGCGATGGCGTAGGTGTTCACCAAAGGCTGAGTAAACATGGGAGCCTCCGTGAAATCAAAGTCTCCATATACTGGATTTTTGTAGACTTTACCTTAAAAATGAGTGGTGAAAGATGTTTAAAAAATAGAAGTTGGCTTGAGATGTATTATTCTTGGCATCCTTTACTCATGAGTAAATCTTCCTTTGCCAGGCGGTGATGGCGCATACCTTCAATCCCAGCACTCGGGAGGCAGAGGCAGGAGGGTCTCTGTGAGTTCGAGGCCAGCCTGGTCTACAGAGTGAGTTCCAGGACAGGCACCAAAACTACACAGAGAAACCCTGTCTCCAAAACAAAACAAAACAACAAAAAAACTT